GCCCTGGCCCAGGCTGCCCAGGGGGGTTGTGGAGTCTCCTTCTCTGGAGATATTCAAAGCCCACCTGGACGAAGTCCTGTGTAACATGCTCTAGGAGAGCCTGCTCTAGCAGGGGGGTTGGACTGGGTGATCTCCCGAGGTCCCTTCCAACCCTTGCCATTCTGTGCTGGCACCGCTGGGGCAAGCCACCACAGCGCAGGAGCTGGAGCGAGCCATGGCACAGCCCAGCCAGGAGCTGGCACGCAGAACCCCGGCAGCAGGGCTGCAGCCAGAGGGACCCCAGCATCCCAGGCCAACACTGGAAAACTGCCCTGGACAGGGCAGGCAAGGGGAAAGCGGAGCTGAGGGCAGGAAAGCTCCCTGCACCACAGATGGGGGGTGTAAGGACCTTGAACACCCACCCCAGCCAGGGCAGGAGCCCCCAGGCAACCTGGAGCTGGCAGGAGGGGCTGGTGCTGCCCACACTGTCAGTCGACCCGTAACGGCTGCTCTACAATTTACAGGCTTTTGACAGGCACTTAATTTTTCAAACCTCCTCGGGTTCAGCTCAGACACTGGCTTTTCGCAGAGCCCCGCATTATGCATGAGCCACCCCCCGCCACCCCCTCTGTCTGCACTGCCGGCACCCCAGAGACATCAAAAGCCAGCAAAGCTCCTCAGAGCCCAGACACACGCTCAGGTGATCGGCCCCAGACAAGCTCCAAGCAGCAGAGTGGGTCCAGGCTAACGAGCAGCACATCAGACCTGTCTGAGCACAGCACCCTGCAGCAGGGGCCACCAGGGATGGGTGCTACACAGCTTGGGGGGGCCTCTATCCCCAGGAGCCCCCCCAGAAGGGACCACAGGCACCTCGTCAAACACAGCCCCCATCCTTTCCCTGGAGCATCACTCCGCCCGCAGCCAGCAAGGCCGGCGGCGCTCCAGCGGTGAGCAGTGACATTTTCTGAACCCTGTGTCAAGCATCCTCAGCTCATCACTCAGTGAGGGCCAGGCACCCAACATGAGCTTCTCTCCCCCATCCTCCTCAGCTGGGCTCTGTCCCCAGATGTCCCCCCTCCTCTTCTGCAGGATCAGAGTGAGACGGGTGGCCCCTCCAGGCAAGGGACACCAGTTACACCTGGGTTCACCTTCAGTGGGAGCCATTTACCAGCGATGATTTTGCTGGTGAAGGGCTGCAGGGGAGCAGGACCCCCGTCATCCCCCAGGAAGCAGCAAAGGGGAGGGCAGCAGTTCACATGGGAGGGAGAAGCCAGAGGTATTTAGGGCACACAGGAAAATACCTGCTCTGGAAAGGTCAGCCACGAGCACGGGGGATGCTTGGGAGGGCTCCAGCCCCCTCCAGGACCATTCCTGCCGAGTACAGCCCTTATCTCCCTCCCACCAGGTACCACCAAACTCCAGCTGAGCCCCCCCTGCCTGCACAGAGCTGGGACCCCCAGTGAAACAGGAGTCACTCCCGGGAACAGCAAGAAGCCCCCCAGGAAATGTCGAGGCAGATGTGGGGGACCCCACAGCAGGGACAGCAGGTTTGCGGGAGCACCTCCAACAGCCCCATGTGGGACACGGGGCTGTGCAAGGGCTCCAGCCACCCTCCGTGCAAGGGAGAGCCAGGAGAAGGTTAATCCCTCTCCCACCACTT